TTTTCCGTCTAGCGTGTGGCTTTGCTGTCTCGGCACCGCCTTTGCGAAAGTCTCTGAAAACACAGATATTACGAGGGGGGGGTGTTTGTGGTCTAGCGCTGAAAGTTTTCGAGCCTCGCGGGTTTTACCGCTCTGAAAGCCGTAAAGATCCCGTTCCCTATTTTTCTTAGTAAGTTAGAATAGCAGCTCGTGATTTTATTTATTTATGTATTTTTTTAGGTCCTTCTGCTCTTATAGCAAAACCTCATTAGGTACAGACCTGGCTGTAAAATCTTGAGCGGCTCAGTAATATATTACGTTCTCCACGGTACGTTTACTACCGCAGTTGCACGACAACTGTTTTCTCCCACGTGAGTTCATAACGCACCTCAATTAGCGTTAAGGACAACTGCAACCGTTTTCAAATACTTTTTCCGTATCCTGCACAGTACTGCACCCCTGAACTTTCACGCCGAAGAAACTTCGGGGCCAGTGGTTGGTTGTTCAAAGAAATTAATTGCCGAAATAGCGGGCTGCTTTAGACTGGGGCTGGAATACCGTGCGAGGGGTGGAGTTAGACAAGGTCTTCTAGCTGCTTTTTTCCCACCTTTCCCTCCATTTTGGGATGACTAGGGCTAGCTGTACCTTATAATTAGCAGGTGTGACTGCAGGATATGGAAATACACCTGGAGTAGCTTTAATCTAACAAGCCTGGGTGCCAGTAGGAGTCAAAAACAGAGGCTTGTACACAAAGGAATAGGTAGCATCTCTGAAGGGCTTGTCGCCTCGCTTCTCTTGTGTTGGTGTAGATTCGGGGGCAGTAATTGCCCATTTGTGGTCGCAGATAAAGCGATAAGGGAGGATTGGTCCGGGGTACGCGTACCAACTGTCAGCCTTCCCCACACTGAAGTCTCTGCAGATGACTAAGGTTATAAGAGATTCTCTGTAGAAGTGATAACTTTTTTCAGTAAGGATGCACTTGCCTTACAAAGATTAATTCCTCTTCGTGTAATTCCAGTAGTTCTTAGTTTAGGCGTGGTTTTAGACAGAGACACTTACCCAGCGTGATCTAACCTCTCTTAGTCATTGTTCCCCTGCTGCGCTCAGTTGTGCTTTGTCTTGCTCTTTGAACCATTAGAAACGTTCAAATTCTTACGAGTTAAAATTTCAAAATGATGTTAGGAAAAGACTCGATAATTAAATAAACCTGCCTGCTTTGTTAGAGGTGCATCTTCAGATGCTGGCACTTCTTTCAGGCTGTCCTTTGAACTCCTGTGGTTTCACGTCCTGTTCGTGCTCTCTGCTTTTCCATTTCTGTTGGCACCTGCTGTCACTTGTGTTCCTTGGTGATAACTACTGTTGATAATGATGCCGTATTTGTGATATGGTCTCTTTGTTAAGAAGAAACAACCGATCTCTCGTTTGTTCTTGTGTATCTCGATGAGTTTTCATCTCTAAACCAGAAAAAGTCCAGATCGCTTCCTGTACAGTCAGATTTCCAGGGATTGTTCCACAGCCATTTTATGCCATAAATCAGAATTGAATTATCATAGTGATTCCTGTGAAGTGTAAATTTTTGTGGTTTTGCTCTGTTTCCCACTGATGGAGAACAAAGCTCTGGGGATTGCTTTTTCTGGTGGTTTGGGCTGGAAGGGGACGATCATTTCCTGTCTAATTTCTTACTCAGACCTTAAATATGTGGTGAAGCTTGTCTAAACTTCTAACTGCACTGTGGTCTCGAGTACTGCATTTTAACTCTAAAATGGTAGCGCTCCTCAGAGGTCTTGAAAGGTAATTGAGAGACCTATTTGGTGCTCCGTACTTCTCCCGCTTTTTGCAGGGGTAGGATCTTGATTTGACTACATACGATGCCAGACTTGCAAAATAAACTCTTAAAATTAGAGAGGGTGTGAAATTAGGACGTGCCTGGCTACGCCAAAAAGTGATTGGGAAGTTTCAAGTTGAATTGAATCTTTTTTGATTTTACTTTCAATGGAAAAATTGTGTGCTTGCCCGGAGAAAAGTAGGTGATTAACTCTTTGGCTTCTCCTTAATGCCACATTTAACAGAGCGATGTTGTAAAAATAATCTGGAACATACACAATTACAATATAAAGACCGGTTTGTGTTGATGTTCCTGTTATGGGATGTGTCTGAATTAAGGGAGAAAGAACTTCTGAGTTTGTAGGTAATGTGGAATTATTTTTCAGTCCCGATAGGAATGTAGGGGATCTGTAGCTCTTTAAGTCCTTCTTCCCAGAATTGGTATTTCTAGGGAATGTACTGCAAACCTTTTCAGATCTCCTAGAACGCAGTGGCTTAATCTGGGTAGCAAGTCTACCACAGCGTGGAAGTCTTGTTCTCCTAGCTGGTAGAGTCCGTTGAAAAAAGAACGTTTTAAATACTTATAGATTGTTATTCGTACTAACCGTGATGCTGAAGAACTGCCAAGTTCCTTGATTGTTAATGGTTTTCAAGCAATGTGGTCTGTCTTGGCACGTAGCGACAATTACAGCATGATGGGTGGTTTTGAATTGGAAAACCTCCGTGGAGTGAAATAACCAGATTATTTTGATGCTTTCCCTGTAGATGGAAGATGGTCACTCCCTTTTCGATTACAGCGTTGGACTGAATGATATTGTTCAACTCTTGGTCAGACAAAGCCCAGCAGTGCTTCCTGCTGTTAGTAAGGAAAAGGATTCCGAACTCTCCGACACAGACTCTGGCTGTGGCTCAGGCCAAAGCGAATCTGACAAAAGCTCTCACAATGGAGAAGGTGCCATGGAACTGGAGGGACAGCCGAGCACAGCGGCGCAGCCTGACTGGACTGACCCGGGATTTGGTCTCTATAAGGTGAGTCATTAAAAAAACCAAAGATTACTTAAAACTGCACTTCAGGAGGGGAATTGTTTCTCTGCAGCTGAGAATTTCTGAAAATCTTTTTCATGCCCCAATTGCACGGGTGTTTTGTGTGGTTTTTTTGTTTGTTTTTTTTTACTCTTAAACCCTCCAACAACAAACAAAAAAGTACCAACCAACCCACAAACCAATTAAATGCAGCGTGTTGTAGGTCAAAATACTTTATTTTTCATTTTATCCTTTTAACTAAAACTACAATACGTTAATTGCCTTGGGGGGAAAAAAAAAAAGCATGCAGGGTGCCTGTTTTGATTTAAAAAATTTTCCCAATATTTTTGCTTGGAGTCACTGCATTTGTCAAAGCTGACACTTTCTTGAATGAACAAAAGAAAATCTCAACCAGCTGTTCAGAATCATTTTACTTCTCTGTTTCAATGGATTTTATTACAGATCTAGTGATGTCTTTGCCAGACTATGAGCAAGACGGTTCTGAAAGTCTGTTACAGACTGACTGACAGTGGTTTGTACTAGATAGGAAAGCTGTTTGGACACAGGTTGGTGTAGAATGGATTTTTAGCCTTAGAGGTTCAGCCTGAGAAGACTGTAGGGGTGCACAACAGGATCAGGAGGGCAAAAGCAATCTTAATTTTTGAGGTGACCTGTTAAAGATCTTGGCAACAGTGACGTTCTTGAGATGGTCAAATCTTCAAGTAGACTTGGAGATTAATGCTGAAGTGGAAAACCCATTTTGGTGAGCTGTATGCTTTGCTTTGTGTAGATCAATGACTTGGTCGATGCTCGAGATATGAATATGGGAGCATGGTTTGAAGCCCAGGTTGTAAATGTAACCAGAAAAAAACCTACCAATGAATCAGCTGACAGTTGCACAGATCCCGATCAGCCGACAACCATTCCCGAAGAAGATGTAATATACCACGTGAAGTATGAAGAGTGAGTTTTGTTACCTTCTTGGGCTAATAAAGTCGTTTGGATCATGATGTTGATGGGAAGTGTTATTGTAGACATCCATAAGGTAAAACAGAACTGGGCTGACAGAGTAATTGCATTACTGAGCCCTGTTAACTGTAAGTTTGTCTTACAGTTGGAGTTCCAACTGCATTCCAACTGGAATTCCAGTGGGCTGGAATCATGCTTTTAGAAGTATAAAATGCCGTTGTCCAAGTTTTAAACGGGGTACAATAGTAGCAAAGTTCGACTGCCCGATTCTGCCTGTGTCTGCGTGGGAGAAGGCGGTTTTATTCTCGATGGTGTTCTTGTATGTTGTGTGACATCGGTTCTTAAATCGACCTGTCTGGATAAAATCTATCACTTATAACAACTTGTGATGTTGAATCTGATTTCTCTTCTCTGTCCCTCCGTGCCTCCCTTCTACTTCAAGTTATCCAGAGAATGGAGTTGTAGAATTGAGTTCGAATGATGTACGGGCTCGTGCACGGACTATTTTGAAGTGGCACCAGCTAGAAGTAGGACAGGTGGTGATGGTCAACTATAATCCCGATGAACCAAAAGAGAGAGGTTTTTGGTACGATGCGGAGATTCTGCAAAAAAGGGAAACAAAAATGATCAGAGAGATAAATGCAAAGATCTTACTTGGGTAAGCAAATTCATAATGTGGAATAAATTGAATTCCCCAACGCTACTTAAACTTCCATGAGGTCTGAGTGACTCTGCTGAAAAAAATGGTGCAACAGAAGTGCTGGGGAGGGCTGAGAAGCTGGGCTGTCCTTTTTGGGCGACTGACTTCATCATACTGCACTTTTGGTTAACTTCCACTGGAGGAATTGGACGCTGATCTGTGGATTCACATAATGCCGGGAGGATGCGAAGCCCCGTATTCGCTAAGAGGCGAAGAATTGTTTACTGTGTTAACTATCCATAATGGGTTTACAAAAACTTCAGTGTAATATTTTGTGCTAGATATGATAATCTAGACTGAACCCTCACTTTATAAAGATGACGAAAAATTACTCCAGTTCTCTCCTAAAGGAGAAAATGAGCCTATGTATAAGGGACTCTCAACTTCAGGGGGAAAAAAGAGTGTGTGTGTGTATATATATAATTTTTTTTTTTTTTAAAGTGTCAGATAAAATTTTTGTGGGGTTGCCACAATATTCCCCCTTTTTCCTCTCACCACAGTGATTTTGACTTTTTAACGATAAAATATGAGAAGAGTTAGTCTGAAAGAGGGAGAACAGTTACTAATGATAAAATGAATGCTACAAGTGCCTGGATTCTCATTGAGAGAAGAAGGGGTGCACTTTAATTGCATGAACATGATTTGATTCGTGGTGATGCTGTCACGCCACTGTCCCAGATCATGTGCTACTGTAACAGGTTTCTTGTGATACAGGACTAATACCAGACCATTTTTTTTTTTTTTTTTTTTTTTTAGTGTGTGTGTGTATATATATAATTTTTTTTTTTTTTAAAGTGTCAGATAAAATTTTTGTGGGGTTGCCACAATATTCCCCCTTTTTCCTCTCACCACAGTGATTTTGACTTTTTAACGATAAAATATGAGAAGAGTTAGTCTGAAAGAGGGAGAACAGTTACTAATGATAAAATGAATGCTACAAGTGCCTGGATTCTCATTGAGAGAAGAAGGGGTGCACTTTAATTGCATGAACATGATTTGATTCGTGGTGATGCTGTCACGCCACTGTCCCAGATCATGTGCTACTGTAACAGGTTTCTTGTGATACAGGACTAATACCAGACCAGTCTGCATTGCCGATGTACATGCGCAGCTGTGAATTCATGCTGTATGATGCTTTCAAAGTATGATCCCTTTGACTTTTATCAACTTCTCCTTATAGGGATGCTGGTGATTCCTTGAATGACTGCACAATTACGTTAGTGGATGAAATTTATAAAATTGAAGAACCAGGCAGTGCTTGTCCAATTAGTGCCAGTCCATTAAAACGTGAGTGTTGCATAGTTCTTGCATGTCTCAGTCTTCCCTTGTGATATTCTGCTAATTGGCTTTGTGAGGATCAAAGGTCTAAGAGTTCCAAGACTCTTGTAGCTGTGACTCCTTTGACCGTTTCCAGCGTATCTTGGCACCTGCTGGAGTCTGAAGGAGACTGTGGTTTCTTTTTTGCTAACAGGACAAAATGGACCTGTGTGTAAAGCTTGTAAGGACAACCCGAACAAGACCTGCAGAATTTGTGCTTGCCATATCTGTGGAGGTAAACAAGATCCAGATAAACAGCTAATGTGTGATGAGTGTGATATGGCTTTCCACATCTACTGCCTCAACCCTCCCCTTAGTAGTATTCCAGATGATGAGGATTGGTAAGTTCTAAGTATGCGTGTGTGGTGTCGCAATTACCGTCTAATTAGGAGCAGAAAGCGAGGTCTAGGGCTTCGTGCTGTCCTTAGGTGGCAATATTGTGACTGTACGAGGTGAAGAGATGTTTGTGTGTGTGTTGTTTGGGTTTTTTTATAGGACTTCATAGCTTTTCTTGAGCATCAGTTTAGTGAGAGTATGTTTTAAGGCAGTGGCTTTCAAACTTCTCTTCCTAGTTTTGGGATCTATATGCCTATTCAAAGAGAACTGGAGCTACCTATAAACCAAACGCAAACCTGATGCCAGGAGGCCTAACTTGTATGATGGTTTTTGAGTCACTTACAGGTAGTCCACAGGACCCAGGACCATATTAGGCTGGCGATATATGCTGTTTTATATATGAAATATGTATGGTGATAGAGAGAGATATATAGATAGTGAAATATACCTATCTATATACATCTAGATAGTGAAATATACTGTTTTATTCCTCGTGTCCTGTTTCAGCATTTTATACAATGATTTTTATGATACAGCTGATTTCCTGACACATCTGCAATGGCTCAGAAGATTGTGCAAGGACACTAGCTAATACAGGTTTAATTCCAGTATGGAGAGTTGTTTCAGTGTCCTGTCTAGTTTCACATGGGGAAACTGTAACATTATAACTCAGTATGTTTTGAGGAGATTCTCTTTTAATTTAAGGCTTTGCTGCTAGTTAATTTTCATTGACTGGTGACTTTAGGTATTGCCCTGAATGTCGAAATGATGCAAGTGAGGTGGTTTTAGCAGGAGAGAAATTAAAAGAAAGTAAAAAGAAACAAAAGATGGCATCCGCTAATTCATCCTCGCGGAGAGACTGGGGCAAGGTCAGTTCAAAAGCCGTTTTATTTTGAAGAATAGCATGTGTTAGTTCCTTGTAATTCTTGGCTGATTGGTCTTGCTCTTTGAAACAGGGCATGGCATGTGTTGGTCGCACAAAGGAATGTACCATTGTCCCTTCGAACCACTATGGACCAATTCCTGGGATTCCGGTTGGCACCATGTGGAAGTTCAGAGTTCAGGTATGAAGCTGAACCCTGGCCTGAGCCACTGTAGGGAAAAATGGGAATGATCCAGCTCTTACAAGAAACCTGAAACAGTTAATCTTGGAGTGTGTATGTCACTGGATATGTAAGTGCAGAAAGGAAAGAATTCTGGCTTTGTCTAGATCAAGTGTTCCATAACTAATGCTGCATTGTCCGGCCATTTCAAGTGGTGTGGTTTTTCTTTTTTTTTTTTTTTTCTCCTTTAGTGCTTTTTTTGGTAACTCAAAAACCCCAAACCAAACATATTTGTTTCCAGCAGTTTGTCCTGGAGATGTGTAGTGTCTCCCACTTGTTCTCCCGGTAAAGGTCTCTCTCAAATATCGCAATATATTAAGAAGAAGGTTTTCTCAGCCTGTTAGAAAGTTGAGAAGCAGCACTGACCTATCATGATCTTGTTTTCAAGCATTAGGCGAAGGTTGCTATTGCAAGTCTTTCAAAACCAGTGCCGTTATACAATCGTTTAATTTTAATATCTATATTATTATTAAATTCCCGGAGCTTTTTAATAAGCAATCTCAGTGAGAAAGATCCAAATTTCTAAATTTGCATCACAAAAGAAAAAAATCCACGTGTTCAACTTACTGAAATATTCAACAGCTTATTTTTTAGAAGTGTTTTTCTTTTTCTTTCCTCTACCTGGAGCTTTTTGGAGGATAGTGGCGAGAACACAGTTTCACCCTGTAATGTATGCAAAACAAATCTGAAATAGTACTATTAGTTAATTTAGTTCCAAGATGGGTGGTCATATTGTTCGTAGCCTGTTGACAGCAGTTGCCTAGCAAAGTGGGTTTTTTTCTTTCAGGTGAGCGAATCCGGTGTTCACAGGCCCCACGTGGCGGGTATACATGGCAGAAGTAATGATGGCGCCTATTCCTTGGTTCTGGCAGGAGGCTATGAAGATGACATAGTAAGTGAATCTTGATTATTTATGCCTGAGAACCAACCTACCTTGTAGTTAAAACAAAGACTTGGCCTTAGTTATTTTTTACACTATATCAGACACTTCCCCATCTTGACGATACTTATATTCTTCAGAAGAAAACTAGGCAAAGGAAAACTACAGGCCGGTAATACGTGCCAACCTGAGAAACGGGATCATCTACATTAAGTTGTAGATGTCCATCTGTCAGCTTTTAATCCAAGAGTCCTTAGCTGCCTTTTCAGGGTCTCCATTGCATCCACAGTTTGAACAGAGTCTCATGGTATATGCTGCCAGATCTTCCTGCGTCAGAAGAGTGTTCGGAACAAAACTAGGGACAGAGGTCCTACTTCTGAATATACCGTTTGGTTCTGCTCGCCGAACCTAACCCTTACTAGGCTGTACCAGGCTCTACTGCTCATTCTTCTTGCGTGTTGCTAGCCTGCACCCCCTTACCCCGAGCGCCTGTTAGAACTCGCGTAGAACAGACAGCCGGGAATCTCAGTAGTCGTTCCAAGTCGTAATTCTGACTGCAAGGTCATGTAACAGCGTGAGTGCTGAGGCACAAGTTACGTTACCCTTGTCTGGAACACGCCCCTGCTCTTCCAAGCAGATCCTGTGCGAGTGGTGTGCCGCTCTTGGCAGAGGTCTCCGCACCCTTAAGGTGTGTGACAAGGCAACAGTTGTCACCCTGACTCTTCTCTCTTGGCAATATAAGAGAGGGCCATAGACCGAGTCTGGGAGCTTAAATGCAGGAAGCATCTTTCCTTTTTTGAGAATACCATATTAAAGCTACCTGATTAAAAGACTCTTCTGCTTTTATTGAATTACTTTTGTGAATGTGTCGAAACCATCCATATACGTTTCAGGATCATGGAAATTCCTTCACATATACAGGGAGCGGAGGGCGTGATCTTTCTGGAAACAAGCGCACAGCGGAACAGTCTTGTGATCAAAAACTCACCAACATGAACAGGTTGGCAACATTTGCGCTCCGTTCCTAACCTTAGTAGCTGGCAATCTGTCAACCTGAAAAATTGTTTGTCCTGTTTGTATCAAAAGAAACTGGCTAAGTGGAAAAACTGTCAAAATTAGGTTTCGACTGTGTTGTAGGCTGCGGATCGGTTGCACAATGGAAATGCTTCTTACAGTGCACTATAAGTGAAACAGAATTGTAAATGGTATTAATCTCACACTTAATATTGACTGAAACTTAAGGAACAGGGTAGTAAATTAGCGTAGAAGTTTTCATTCTCTCTCCTGCAGACCTTTGCAGTCACTGGTCACCTTGGGAGACCAGATCATTTGTAATTCTGAACTGTTATTCTTACAAGTAAGTGTGGACTTGAGTGGAGGAGGTGGTCCGTGCAATTACATTAGGGTAATGTAATGAACAATCAGCGTATTTAAAGTGTGGTCCCCAGTCAGGAGGCTTAATTACTATCTCCCGGAGTTCTTAGTGTTATACAAGATACATAAAAGTGTTACCATTTAAGACAAACAAACAAAAGCCTGGCTACATCCTTTTTCCTCGGAAGGGACTCAGAAGGGGCTACTTCTGTATCTGCAAAGAGGCAGTAGCTTCCAGTTTTTTGGTAGCCGTTGCTGTGGTTCAGCACAGTGCCAGTCCGCTGCTACTCTTAGCATTGTACTCAACTGTATCAATGCGTTGCTCTGAGTAAAATAGTATAGTTTTAAATTTATTACTTCTTAGTAGCTGGTTTACCATGCAAGCTTTGCTTTGCTTTATCCTCCCTCTGCTTCTGAAGAGTTCGGCCTGGTAAATACACTAAATTGATTGGACTTTCTCTTGTAGAGCTCTGGCTCTGAATTGCAGTGCCCCCATCAATGACAAAAATGGAGCTGAAGCCAAGGACTGGAGAGCTGGGAAGCCGGTCCGAGTGGTGAGGAACGTAAAAGGAGGCAAACATAGTAAATATGCTCCTGTAGAAGGGAACAGATATGATGGAATATATAAGGTAAGAAGGATTTGAATTTGCCTGCTGAATTAGGGAAAGATAATGTGGTTGTGGCCAAGGGGTTTTTATAGTGTATGATGGACTTGCATCTGACTTTTTTAGGTTGTGAAATACTGGCCCGAGACAGGGAAATCTGGATTTTTAGTGTGGCGTTACTTACTTAGGAGGGATGATGAAGAACCTGCTCCTTGGACCAAAGAAGGAAAGGACAGGATGAAAAAGCTTGGCCTAACAATGCAGGTACTCTTTCAGAACATCATCAGGGTTACCCTGGACAATGAACTTGATGGATAGCAGGAGTTCTTCTATTATACGTTCTTATTGAGGATGATCCTTGCGTAAGAATCCAGACAGCCCCCCCTTGGACTGAGGGGGACACAAGTGCTCTCAGTCTTGGGGGTTGTTTGTTTTCTTTTTACATCAGGAGGCTAAATGGACAAAACTCACTTTCTTGTGTAGAATTTCTATAGTCTGAGTAAGTGCTTTGCAAGAGCAGGGATCTATTGCTTAAAATAGAGAACCCCTGGAGCAGTTCTCCAGAGGTCGTTCTTCCGACCCGTAACAGTCTGCAAGTCTATGAACTGGTGTGTTTGCATCGGATGCTTTTTGTTTTGTGTTTTTTCCTGTAGTATCCTGAAGGGTATTTGGAAGCTGTTGCAAACAAAGATAAGGAAAAAGAAAATAATGGAGAAGATGATTTTGATACCCCAGGGAAAGGAAAGAGGAAAAGGAAATCAGCAGGTTTGTGGAGTAGGCAAGTGGATATAGAAAGCCTTGTAGGTTTTTGTGCATTTTACCTACTTACTCTTTTCTGGTGGCTTTTTGTTTGTTCGTTTAAAAAGTTGTTGTGTTTTCTTTCAGGTGGGGAGGAAAAACTCATTACCTCTCCTACAGGGACTCCAAAGAAAACTAAAGTTGAGCCATACAAGCTGACATCTCAGCAAAAATCTCTTATAAAAAGTGATGAAGCCAATGAAAAACTGTGGAATGAAGTACTAGAAGCTCTCAAAGATGGACCGGTATATCGTGCTTTCCCCCCCCAGTAATAAAGTGGCAGCTAACTAGCGTACTGTCCCTAGGCACAAACCTCTTGGCTGCACTGAAGTAACAGCCTCAGACCTATAGCGTTCTTTTAGTGTAGACATCCACAGCATAACTTTAAAGCACTGTATTTGAGGTCAGTAAGAAGACAGTGATGAGAACTTGTTTAATGTAACTATTTCTTTCCTTGCTGAGCTTTGTAGAAAAACTTCCTGTGACTACAGTAATCCCTTGCATTTAACGTGGGGTGGGGTGGTTTTTTTTTTTTGGCTGTATCTTTCAGAAGGTAGTAGCAATAAGTTGATTCAAATGTTCTCTTTACAGAAATTTCTAAATAAAGTTGAAGAGGCCTTCTTGTGTATTTGCTGTCAGGAGGTTGTGTTTCGGCCAGTCACAACTGTATGCCAACACAACGTGTGCAAGGTGAGTCATCGATACGACTCTTCTGTCGAGTTCTGTTGAGCCAACGAGCCTTGAGCTGACTTCTTTAGTGGTGAGAGAGAGGTGGGGGCTGTCGGGGGGGTTGGTTGGTTTGGGTTTTTTGCCAGTAGTTAGTCTTTGTCCTGGTTTTGGCTGGGTTTATATGTGAAAACTTTGATTTGATGAAAGTTCTTTGCTGCAGAAAAGTCTGTGCTTCAAAGAAAGTTCCACTATTGCATTGCTACTATCAGATTCTTTCAAAAGATGACGAGAGCTTCTCTGTAATACTGCTAGGTGACATTGATGGATTTGACAGTGTTACAGTGTGTGCGGGTTTGTTTTGTTTTTTGAAGAATGATGTGAAGTGTTTTTGCAGAAGCCCCAACAGCCTTTAACAGCTGCAGGGGAATTCTTGATCTTTAGAAATGTACTTGAATGAAATATCTCTACCATATACCTAAATACTGTGTCCATGACTAACGTGCTCTGTTGAAGTGCATGTGCTATTGCACGTGATGAAGGAAGCTTTCTCTCCCAACCGCCAGCCTTGCATTGCTCTCGGCCTTTCTCAGCTCTTGTCAATACCTGGGTGAACTGGGATATAAAAGGAATCTCATTCCCTCCAGTGGGGGCTTTGTAGGATAAACTAAACTGCACGTCTCTCTTCCTTAACCAATTCTTTTTTTCGGTCTTTCCCAGGATTGTTTGGATAGATCCTTCAAAGCTGATGTGTACAGTTGTCCAGCCTGCCGCTACGATCTTGGCAAAAATTATACCATGCAAGTGAATGAAACACTGCAGACCGTTCTAACTCAGCTCTTTCCTGGATATGGCAGTGGACGGTGATTCTGTAAAGCACTTCTAATTTTCTTTTGTTCAAACGTATTAATGGGTTTTCAGTGGGTAATTTAAAAAAAAGTCTGTGCTTCAAAGAAAGTTCCACTATTGCATTGCTACTATCAGATTCTTTCAAAAGATGACGAGAGCTTCTCTGTAATACTGCTAGGTGACATTGATGGATTTGACAGTGTTACAGTGTGTGCGGGTTTGTTTTGTTTTTTGAAGAATGATGTGAAGTGTTTTTGCAGAAGCCCCAACAGCCTTTAACAGCTGCAGGGGAATTCTTGATCTTTAGAAATGTACTTGAATGAAATATCTCTACCATATACCTAAATACTGTGTCCATGACTAACGTGCTCTGTTGAAGTGCATGTGCTATTGCACGTGATGAAGGAAGCTTTCTCTCCCAACCGCCAGCCTTGCATTGCTCTCGGCCTTTCTCAGCTCTTGTCAATACCTGGGTGAACTGGGATATAAAAGGAATCTCATTCCCTCCAGTGGGGGCTTTGTAGGATAAACTAAACTGCACGTCTCTCTTCCTTAACCAATTCTTTTTTTCGGTCTTTCCCAGGATTGTTTGGATAGATCCTTCAAAGCTGATGTGTACAGTTGTCCAGCCTGCCGCTACGATCTTGGCAAAAATTATACCATGCAAGTGAATGAAACACTGCAGACCGTTCTAACTCAGCTCTTTCCTGGATATGGCAGTGGACGGTGATTCTGTAAAGCACTTCTAATTTTCTTTTGTTCAAACGTATTAATGGGTTTTCAGTGGGCTTAATTTAAAAAAAAAAAAGAAGTAGTCTGTGTTCTCCCAGACCCCTAAAAAAGTTTAAAGTCTTCCTTGTTTTTAAAAAAACTATAAACTTCAAGGAATATCCTTTTCTATGTTCGTGGGTTTTGTTTTTGTTCTAAATGTTGAACTTTGCGTTTTTTGGGATCTTTCCCCCTCAAAACTGCCATTCACCAGCACAGAATAATTTTTTTTTTTAATGGACTTACAAAGTGCTTCCGGTAAGGCTGCTAATGATTATGAAAGTTCTTAGAGTGCCCCCTCCTTTTTTAATTTTTTTTTAATTCAAAAAAATGGCTTGGTTGTTTTAATTCAAAAAAATGGCTTAGTTGCTAGAACAATCTTCAATGTTTGGGGATTTGGCCATAAAGGTAGACTTGTGCATCACCTTGGCAGCATTTTGATGCTCAATTTGTGCAAGATGGTTCCTGGCTTATGATCTTTTTACCACAAGTGGATATTTGCTATTTTTTTTTTTAAAGAACTGTTTTTTTATACATTTGACAAACTTATCAAAAGCCATTTCCTGCTAATTCTGTCTGTCAAAAAAAAATAAAGCTGCTTGCGTATAGCCAAGTGGTTGGAGCAATATGAAGTACTACCTCAGTTGGACTTCTTTCTTATTAAGGAACTATTTGTTCAGCCAGGTGCTGTCTTCTATCCAGAAATGCCATTGTGGAATATACTAAAGCCATTCTTAAGTGCCTTTTGTCCTTTTCTGAAAGACTGGGCTCTGAACCACCATATATATATATTTTTCATAAGCACTGAATTGTTTAAACTTGCCAACCGGATTTTATTCTTTGGGTAAAATATAACACTGTAGCTGTATATGATTAGCATGGATTTGCAAACTTTCAGGTTTCCTCCTAATGCTAGGTGTATTATGGTAACAGGACTTTTTTTTTTTTCTTTGTTTCGCTGCATTTTTACCTGGAAATGGAGAATAACCAATTCTGACTTTTTTTATGAAACATTTTGTTTATTGTACATGACACCGAGGAAAGCTTACTTTTGTGAATGGGTTGTCTTTTTCTAACATTACCAAAGTTTGCAGTTTAATACCTCAACAAGACAGGAATGTTCTTAATCACACTTTGCTACAGACAGACTGGAACAAATGTGCCTATTTTTGGCTTTCTTAACTCTTACCCTTTTTAAAATTATAATGTTAATATGTTAGGGGAAAAAAAAAAACCCGTTTTATAGGATTTTTGCTGAATTTGTCAATTTTTTGTACAATGTGCAAGTTGAAGTTCTCAAAATAAATATCTTTTCAGATGAAAGTGTTGACTGTTTTCCTTTAATTCTTTTTATTGGAAGCAGGCTTCCAGACCCCATTGCTTGTGCAGGAATTTGTATTTATGTTCCATTATGCTAAGCCTTTTATTTTCTAAGGCCTATTTTCATTATGATTTTTCACTACAAAGAAACGGGGAAAATACTAATTTGATATTCTTGTCTTCAAAATATTTGCTTCTGGGCATTAGTGAAAAGCATATGTCATGTTCAACTAAAAAACCCCAAAAATTCCCCAAATCACTGTCTTTTTGGGGCATAAATTACGTTAGATTTCCACAGCACTAAAATCCAAATATCAACTGGCGATTGGAATTCTCTGCACATTTAATGAGCAAGACCAAAACTGTTAGAGCTGCCATGTCATGCGTCATATTGGGGGTGTTTACAGCAAGTAGCGTGAGCATCTCCATCGAACCAGAGGAATAAATTAAAACACTGGGGTTTTCATACACAAATGCAGATGAGGCAAATGAAGAAAACATACAGGCCTTTATGATGTTGAAAACAAAAGCTGTGAAATTGCACAACTGCTGCTTCATCTGCCCTCTAAGTTTATTTTAAGGTTAGTGTTAACATTAAACACTTTCAGGTATTTAAATTTCATTGAAAATGTCCTTCCACTTTATATTTTGATGAGAAGAATTTGGGGTGAGTGGATGAAATTGAGGAAGTGTGTGTATGTCTGTGGGTGTGTATATATAAATTGATGTGATTTAATTGATTGCGATGACTTCCTTAGTATATTGTTTTTGTTATTATTTGGAAAGCAAACTTTATTCTCCTACATAGGTGTCAGTGTACTGTTCTGAGTTTTAGTGTTTATTTAGCATGAATTAGCATTTCTCTGCAAATTAGACACTTTATAATTTGGGGCTTGCAGATCTCAACGTAAAGCTGAAGGAAAATTACCGTGCCATAAAGTGAGCTGGTGTGTGGCTTTGGATATGAAGGGATCGTGTGTTTTAATGGTAGAGGTCATTAGTAGGGTGGCGTTTCATTTCCCGTACATACTTGTATACGTTTGTGTTGCAAAGTTTGGGAGTAAATATCCAAAAAGTGATTTGGTAAAGTAAGTGTTTTGTGGATAAGGAATGGGGAAGCAAGAATGACAATGTTGCAAAAAAACAACGCCAGGATCTTTCTTCTATTTTGGGAATTCCCATCTCGCTTCCCAGCAAGTGTACAGAATCTATGGCCTGCACAGTTTAATTGAGCACAAATTAAAAAATACCCCTGATAGTTCTTCATCCTGGCAGGCTTCCACGGTCCTGTAATTGCAGCCAGTTTGAAAAGAGTTATCTGTTGTGTGGCGGCGGTGATGGCTGGAGGCGGCGGGAGCTCAGGGAACTGGTACAGGTACTCACCTCGACCTGTGGCATCTCCGTAGTCTCTGCAGGAGAAGGGGGAAACTGCAGCTCTGGGTCGGGTCCTCTGGCAGGAGGCGGCCACCCACCATCTGTCCAGGATCAGGGTGCCATGATAGCATGGCGGTACTGTTATCTTCTGTGGGGGGGAACTGGAATGACGTGTAGGTAAATCCCACTGCTTTTAAAGAATGAGCTGGTGGGGAGAGGCGGATTCAGCACGCTGTCTGTAGCTGATGGTTAACTTTTTTCTTTCTTTTTTTTTTAAAGCTCTAGCTACTGGAGGTGTGAGAGATGGGGAGCCTAAAACTACTACCCGAATATTGTGAGAGCTTGAGCATGTTAACAGCCAAACACCTGATCTCATCTTTTGATGTTCATCTCCCTCATAAGGTGCCGTGGTTCCTCGGGTCCCTCTGGGGCTGCTCACCCCTTCGGGTTTGTGTTTTTGGAGAAAAGGGGGGGGGGGTGCGAGGTGGGTCTCCAAGCTCTGCCCTGTGTGATGAGCTTGCTGAGACAACCCCAAGTTGGCTGAATACAGGCTGGCCGGGCGTTGATGGCGATTTGACTACCCTGCTGTGAAATGTACGTGTGCCATCTTTAACACCTTTGTGCTAGCCCTGCTCCAGCCTTTCCTCAGGGGCAGACTGCAGCAAGCAGCCCTAAGGACCACAGCCGTGGGCAAGGTGCGGCTCGGGCCTGTGCGGGTCTGCCTCGGGGTAAACCCCCCGCCTCAGGGTGCGACGCCATGACCCTGAGGCCGGGGGGCCAGCCTGGCCGGGAGGGGACGGGCCGGGAGAGCGGGGGAAGGTCCAGGCCTCGCCGGACCCCGCGCCCACCTGCCCGGCCGCCA